TGGCTAGTGCTGTTATAACGCAATAAAATTTCACCGTAACGACAGCGACTGAGCGAGGACAGTAAATGTTTAAAATAGACAGAAGTGTACATAGAATCACTTCACGCTTTTCTGACTGCCGCGGCAACGCGAACCTCTCAAAGCCGAATAAGTTTACACGTAAATTCACATATTCGAAATTCTCAAATGGACTGATACAGACATACTAAGTGCTCGTCTCCATTATATTCCATGGCAGGTGTGCAAGAGAGAGTGTCTCTTATGGGCTTTAGTTTCATCTTCATCCAAATTCATGCAATTAAAAACAAGAAGGACTTTCTATAGATTTGTTCCCATTTTACCAAAGCGCCATGTGCATAGTTATATTTTATAGCAATGAATAGACTAAAGATTCTTATATTCAACCTATCACTAAAAAAATGAGCGCTGAGAGAAAAATAGGATGAACGCTACTATAACATTGGGCCAATTTTTTCTCAAATTCTGGGTATGTTTTACCAAGAAAAGGTAGAAAGCAATAATTTTTTCCCAAAAAATGAACGCGTTTTTGACAGCGCTGTAATTCGAAAATGTTTAGGACAACGATAACATTGGCATTCTGCAATTTATTCCACAAGCAGAACTAGAGATGATTGAGATTTTACCTGGCAAACGTCTTGAAAAAGGAAAGAAAGCTACGTTGAAGGTAACTTGGTCTTACCTAAGCTTACTATAGTATAGTTACTTGATCTAGTTAGTATATTCTGGACTTATCAGCAAGAGTTTGGGAGGATTCTACCAAACAAATTACGTGGAGAAGGATGGAACAAAAAAGTACGTCCTTTTATGTACACATCTATAGGGAATTGTGCATACGAACTACTTATTCCTCTAAGTATAGCAAATGCTGAAGGTGCGCATGTTCCAGAAACACATTTTTGAATCCAAATGAATTCGGAACAAACTTTGCCCACATACATTTTGCCACAGTGGTATATTAATTTTTTGATTTCGTAATAAATCGCTGAAAATTGTTATCGGGGTAAGCTAAGATGATGTCAGTAACTATAATAGCACATAATTTAATTTGTTTGATTTACTTGTTGTCTTTTTGAATAGTATATAAGTTTCTCAAACTTTTAAGTGGAGAAGAAATTATCGCACAAAATTAAATTTAAACCAAATAAGCTATTCATCTCACATTTTGGAATTTTGGAATGGGATAGCTTACCATACGCTGAATATA